TGTGGGGACTCCTGCGGACCCCCCGCTCATCCCGCTTCCGGGACGTTGCAATACTTGGGGCCGGACTACATATCGCAAGAAAAAACTGTTTCACTGTGAACTTGTGATGCAGAAAATGGATCGCACAAGTGTGTGTCATGCTACACATGCAAGCTACACATGCAAGACAGTTGATTTCTAGCTGTGTTCTCCCTTGGGAACCCCGCATGACAGATTTTCGGTGTCAGGCGTAACAAACTTGTGACGCAGATTTTGCAAAATCACCACTCCACAGTAAAACAGTTTTTTCGTGGGATACTACAGTAGGCATGTGCAGTAGTCTCTCCGCAGCCGCCTCCAGCCTTGCCACGGTTTCCTCGGTCACCGGTGCAGGCGGAGCTTCGCTCGCGTCTGGAGCTTTGCTTGGTCCATCCAACATCAGCAAGTGTTTTCTTGTTCGGGTAAATTGCTGGTCATCCTAAATCGTCTTCCACCACGAGAAACCACATAGAACTTCTTCAAGCGTCATCAATCAAGTGGTTCAAATTTGTCAGTCGAGGTCGACCCCATCATCCAAATTCTGTAGAGGCGGCACTATGCCATACACTGGACTATAACAGTCACCGACGGCGTGTGCAGATTCGACCTCCGACTTTAGCAAAGACTGACCCAATACAGTAACACCAGTACACTGCTGCATGTACATACTTAAATCTCCTATTTGGTTTTTTTCTATTCTTATTTGTATTTCTTTTGAATTTTGTTTTGTGTGCATGAAACTTTTACTGTAGGATCACACACTTTGAAGACAGTAGCAGGCTAGGATCACACACTTTGAAGACATCAGCAGGCTCGCTATCCCGCGACACAGAGACTTTTATAGAGTTCATCACACCACGACCACCCTAACTCCCTACTAACTTGAAATTGTGCGCCGCCGTCAAAACCATGATGAACACAGTACTTATCTCGTACACACAGAAGCATCAATCATGCCGTAAATAGCTACTTACTAGCAGCTGCCGTCCGGTGAGAGCGTGCAATGACCACGCGGATGCGTGATGCGTATGAACCGGCGCAAGTCGCACACATAATGGCACGACCGATCGGGACAGCGCTCACTGCCACTTGATCTACCTAGTATCGCTAAGTGATGACTTTTCCATGATATGCGTATGATGTGCTACTGCTACAGCGGCTTTCGCACTCGTCGACTTTGCAGAAAATAAATGTTGTTCGTCCTGCTCCCTGACCAGCTTGTCCTACTATATCACACTGCGGGCGGTCATGAATTTATCAAAATTTGCAAAATCAGGCATTGCCTCTTTGTTGCGCACGTCGTGAAATCGCCAGAGGATGTGAATTTCGGCGCTCCCTCCGGCACCGACCGAACTTCCGCTTGCTTTGCCTCTGGCGGCTGCAGTAGTTCCCGTCACAGAGGGGACGGACACTGTGGATGCGGTGGTAGACAGATCTTCTTGGTCACCCCGCTCTCCACCATCTTCCTCATGAGGCGACAACTGTCCATGAAGGTGGTCCAAGAAAGACACATAGGGTATCAGTTGGCCTTTCATACCTGAAGACGGAGCGCGAGCAGGAGAAACGTCAGATTTTGTTTTTAGTTTTATGTAATTTGTGCGTGTTCATCTTTTTATTTGGTTAACAGACCAAAATCTCAACGTTCTTGTCTCAACGTTCATGACGCCGACGAGCAATCGTCTCAACGATTGCCCGGCGGCCTCAAACAACGCTCGCCGGCAGTGGCGGAAAGGCACGCCCGCCACCATTGACGCGAGACGCACTCGATGAGACACAAGGGGCGCAAGGGCGCGGCAACACACACGGGCAGGGGCGTGGGCGTGAAACACAACACAAGGAAAGGAGAGAGTCGTCGGCCAGGGCAGCCGCCGCCGGCCGGCGGCGGCTGCCCTGGCCGACGACCAGAACCCCAAACCCTAGACCCTAACCCCAAACCTAAACGGTGCCGAAGTTGAGGCGTCGGGGTCAACGTTGGGACGTTTTGTCTAAACGTTGAGACAAATTGGCGTAGTTGAGATTTTGGTTTGTCAACCTTTTTATTTCCAGTACAGCATTACGAAGAAGTCGCACTTCTAACTACCAACGTCGGAAGGACAAGAAGTGAAAAAGGTGCGGCTCTAAAATGAAAATCATTTTGATTTTGAGAAAATGTTAGAAGATTTTCTAAATTATACTAGTTGCACTTTCAAGTGTGCATTCTTGATTGTAGTACCTGTGACACTCTCCACAAGACTTGCATTCTGGTAGATGTTGAATGTAGGATAGTTGGCTTGGTCGTAGGTGCAGCTGAAAATGTCACCTCCCTCCACTTCGACTTCGCAGCCGTGTCCTCGCTTTTGATAATTTCGAAGGATTAATACTTGGAGTTAGAACTCGGATTGTTTGTTTTGCTGATCCGATTTCTTTTTCAGGTGAAAATGAAAGTGCAGACGGTTATGTTTCTTTATTACGTTGTCGACGTCAAAAAAGAAAATCAGGATTCAAGCATGTATGTCTCTAAACAACTTGTGGAGGCCTAGCCCTAGGCCCCCTTCCAGAACCAAGGCAATCATAAGTACCGCAGGTAGATCGTCGTCGGCTGTCTCTTCCGGCGTACCTCTCGGCGCCACTGTGTTGGTCAGACCCAGGAAGAGTCTTGCCTTCTTGGAAGGCGTGCTGTGGTTTTTCTTCTCTGCTCGTAAGATTTCAACTTCGTAGTACAGCTTGTCTTGCTCAATTCTGTATTTGCCGTAGACCGTGCCTCTGGTGCTGCCGCTGACCACGCCGTCCGCCGATAAATGCAGTTGCTTCCCCACCCGACCGATCAACTTCGCGTCCAGTTGAGCGATATGAACTGCAAAAGTATCGCACTCGTATAAATGCATTACAAATTTCCTCAGCATGAGAGAGAAAATCTGTAATGCGGATTTACCTTAACCTTAAGATAAAGATTTGTAATGCATGACTGCAATACGAGTACGATACTTTTGCACAGGATAAGCGAGCTGCGGATTGCGAGCCCGTGAGGAGCAGCTGGGGTGGCTCGAGACGGTAAGCTATCAAGTGTAAAAGTGTCTGGATCTGGAAGAAAAAGAATGTCATGCATATTTCTCATGACCCATGATGCCTGTAATACTTGACCTAGCATCGCAGACTTTTAGAGGTCTTCCCGATGCACCTTTAGCATGAGAAATGGCCCGTCCGTGTAGCAAGAACTCACTGTAGCCCTCTTGCTGGTCATGCAATACAAATTCTTTTAGAGTCCAAAAACAGCATGACAAGTTGCAATCTTCCAGACTCAGCCATTTTTGCACTTGATATAAGCTCCACAGTCGGATTCTCCTCGTCATGCTGAAGACTGCTTTTTCCGACTGACGAACTCGCTGCACCGGGCTGACCGACCACACCGCTGCCGGGCGGGGCCGCGGCGCACTTGTCCGCCGGGGAAAACACGTCGTAAAATCCGCCCCACATTGTCGCGCAGGGACAATATTGCAGCATAAGCGGAAATTTTGCAGCGCGATCTTCGGACAAGGAGGAGCTCGTGGCAGAGGCAAAACAGGTTGTTCGCCTTTGGGCGACACTTGCAATTGACTTCTACTGATGTATTTCAACATGCGTGAACTTGAAATTCAAAAAAACGTGGGTGCGAACGGGACTGCACGAATACGACAAGAATTTTGACACCGAGGGATTTCAAGTTCAACCGAAGATGAACCACCGAGCGAAAATTGTTTCACATTCACTGAGGGTGAGGAACCAAAACCATAACCATAACCAAAGAAACTAATTCCAAGTTGAACCAACGAAGAGATTTATTACCCCAACAACCAAGTCCGAAACACGAACTAATTGAGCGGTGTTCCGCGCACGGAAATGCTTCCGCGCACGGGAATGCTTCTTTTTAGTATGAGATCAACTAAATAAATTACAATCGAAGACGAGAATTCGCACAGAAATGCTTCTGCAACGCCCTGCCTGGTTTTTTCCCGATCTTTTATCGCGAAATTGCGCGCAGAGCGCGTTTTCTATTTTTATTGCCAGCCCTGGGCCTTTTTTTGTACTTGCGTAGTGTGAGCAGAGTGCGCTATTTTTTGCGCTAAGTGCGTTTTTGTGTTTTTGGAATCGGCCCTAGAAGTATTTTTTTTGTGTTTTTTCTTTTGCTTATTTGATTTTTTTGACAGAGGAGACGTTCTCCGTTATTTCTTTCGCAGAGTAGAAGGGACAGCAAATCGATTTTCTACAAGCAAAACGAAAACAAGGAAAAAAAGTGCTTGCAGTGCAAAAAAAAACCAATAGAATACTTTTACGAACAAAAGCAGAACTCAACGTCAACCAGATTCATATGAGAAAAATAACTACAACGGGATTCACAGATAAGCGATTACGCAGAATGCATGCTGTCGCGAGCAATTGGACGCAGCAGCCCATTGGGAGTAGAAACAAACAGCTTTGCCAATTTCGCGATGTAGTTCGCACCGTCATGCGAAAGTAACGCTTTCATGCTGAAAATAGGATTTTTAAAGGTTTCTTGATGAACAATTGCAAAGCCAAACACTCCCGCCACATGGCTTTCTTCTGGTGGTGCGGGTTCCGGTGGCCCCGGCAAATACAGCACCAGTTGCCCAGACGGGAGTGCTCCACCAGATTTCGCGTCGGTGGGTTGCTTCAGTTCTTCAGACTGGGCTGTGTCGACTGCTGTCCAGAGATCGCTGGCAGCCGAATTTTCGCTGTTCCAGTTTTCGGACTCCGTGTCGGCTGTGCTTAGAACAGCGAAAGCCGCATCCGCCATATTCTTTAGCCGCTCTGGGTAGTTCACACGCGGCACGACGTCGTAGCCGGCTATGATCTATGCATTGCAAACCAAGTTATGCCTGGGTCTGGAACGATACGGATACGAGCTTTGCTCGTGATGTAATGCTAGCTCTCTAGTGGAACGCCATTACACAGACATCCGCGTTACATGAGTGCCACAAGTTGTCCATTTCTTGCGACGCAACGAGCGAAGTCTCTCATGTTGCAGAATAAGTACCTAGACATGGAAACGGTTTTGTACTCCGCCACACCCAAACATTGACACATTTCCAGTGAATATGGTAGTGAGAAACGATTTGAACGGGAAAAGTAAGTCAGAGGCCTTGATCGTGCCTTTTCTCGCCTGCTCCTTCAAATGGTGCACCTGGGCGTGCGTGCTGATCATGCCCGGGTTCGCGTGGGCGTAGCACTTGACTTCAATAGGGTGATGGTCGCGGTTCGCTTTCTTGGCGTGTTTCTTTCGCGCGTGGTCGATGTCATGGAACGCTTTCGTTCCGCGCCACATGGCGTAAACAAACTGAGCAGTAGCGGCACCAAGAGAGTGGCCTGTGATGATCACACGTTTGTACTTTTCATGTTCATCGTGTTTCAGCATGTTGTGCACGAGCTTGAACGTCTTGAAGCTGACGTAGTGCGCTGCTTTGAAGAAGCCCGCGTGTACTCGGACCATTTCATTCACGGAGTGGGTTTGCTTGTCTCGTTTGTGCTTCTGTCGTGTACAAATGTGATTTGCGTCATGCGAGTGACGGTGTTGCGGGTCCGGGTGTTTGTGCACGGCCGGATGATGCGGGTTGTGCTCCACGGCCTGTTTTTCGTGGTCGACAGAATGGTGATGCAACTTCTCATTGCCGACGCCGAAGTCCGCCAACGGCACCCAGCAGTCTCCATAGTGCAGATCCGTTCGGATGTCGGCCGGGCCGGCAGTCCCTTGAATCACCACGACAATAGCCTGCAACAAGTCGTCCCGCAGGATCATGTACGCAGGCTCGTTGAGCTTCGCGTCGATATAGTACGCAAACTGGTCCACATTGCTAAAGTCGTCTACATATTCCTTTCTTCCCGAGTGGTCTTTCATCTCCCGATCCTCATCTGTCACCCCCGGCGCTGCGCTTTCTATAAGAAAAGCGCCAGGCTTCTTGATTGCGTCAATCGGGTTCGCTTCGTACACAGCTTTAGCAAACACCATTGTACGATAAAGCTCTGCTTTCCGCCATCGGTCAAGACCAGGAGCAGAGTGATCTTCCCGATCACGATCAGCGAGGCTGTTGAGCCATGCGTGGTTTTCGAACACCAAGTTTTTGTTGTAGTCGGTGTCTCCAGCTTCGCTTTTCCCTTTCAGTTCGCGATAGGAATCTTTGTCCGTCACAACATGCAGCTGCTGGATGGAGTTGAGCACGCCAAGGTCCTCCCAGAACCACTTCTGCAAGTGCGTCCAAAGCGAAAACTTCCTGTGGTGATCGGCGATCTGTGTTCCGATGAAGTCTGCTAGAGGACGTACTAGGGCACCTGGTTCTGCCTCCACCACGTGCACAGCAAACCACGCGAGGCTGGGATGTCTCTGCTTGTGCTCTTCCCACTTCTTGGAAATCTCCTGGAGCTTTCGCTGCGACAGGTCAAACAAAATTTGCACGCCGTGCATCATCTTCTCGCGTATTGCCTCTTGGAGTCTCCACGCTGCCTCGATGGCCAGCTTACCTCCTCGCAGGGTTCCTCTCGCAACCAGGTCACCAATCCGTTCGCCCCACACGGTAGGTAGTCCCATGTACATGGAGCCAACCCCTCCGATCGCTTTTGCTGTGTGGCGAACGGTATCCGCCAATCTTGTTGAAGTTGATGTGGATGCGCCTGCTTTTGTAACTAGAAACGAGTTGACCACTCCTGATCCTGTGGACTCCGTGTCATTCGTTCCGACTTCTGAGTAATCCGCTCCAATCCCGTGTCCGCTCCGCTGCAACCCCTTCTCCCCGGCAGCGCGGTAAAAATCTCCTTGCTCCGTCTGGTCATCCGCCGCAATTTTAGTGGTGGAGGGTGCTTCTTCTAACTCTCCAATCGCGCTGGAATCGCCGGATATTGATTTCTCCACAAAACCCGACTCGCCCGCCCGTTCTTCCTCATCCGTAAACTCCGCGGCGGTATCTACAACGACCGTGCGCACTTGCTGTGAGTCGTCGTAGCGGGAATGCGGTGAGCGGTCGATGAAGGCGTCTGTGACGTTCTCCGGTAAGAGGGTTGGCGCTAGCTCGCCTGCGCCGCGCCACGGAAGCAAGCCGTACCGCAAGCACAACGTAAAAGTAAAAAAACCTCGTGGAGGCGTCATCTTGCTCTCACGTATAGCGCTGGATGGTGCGCGTGACAGACTGTGCGACAGGGCTTCAACAAGTCGAAGAACTAGGAATCAAATAAAGTCCAGGTTTCCAAAAAGTCAACCCTTGAACCTCATTGACTTCTGATGTAGCAGAAGTAGTAGTACTAGTAGTAGTACTAGTAGTAGTGCTAGTAGTAGTAGCGATTCCCAGCAAGCGGAGAGAAGGGGGGCCAACTCTCACCTCACTAACTCTTCACCACTTTTTTCATTGCTCGTTTAGGCTTGGCTTGGTTCTTGGCACTCCTCATCTTCTCCTTGGGACATAAAATTGAAATTGAAATAAAAAAACGTGGATGCGCACGTCGGGACTACGTACACGAACGCGACTATTTTGACATCCAGGGGACTTCAACCGAAGGTGAACCATCGGGCGAAAATTTCACGGAGGAGCCAAAAACTAATTTCAATTGGAAGTACCAACAAGGAGATTTATTTACCCCAAGAACGAAATCTGAAACACGAACTAGTTGAACACGTGTTTTTCTTGTTTTTTCATCTTTCATACTATTTTCGCGGAGCACAGAAATTGTACTCCTGTTTTTACAACGCCCTTCCTGGTTCGTTTTTTTCTGATTTTTTATCATGACATTGTGCTTGCGTTTGAAAAGACATATGACATCTTCGGGGAGACCGGTTTATTAGCGCTGGAAAACTGCGTAAGTACGAAAAAGCCGCGTTAGCACACAAGGAAAGCCGCTTGCTAATGTCGGGTTTCAGAAACCGCTGAAGGAGCAGGGCAAATCAAGAGAATGGGTTCTTGGTGCCATTAATCTGTTCCTAAATTGTTTTGGTAAACCATGGAAAGACTGGAGCAGAAGCACCTCGTTGACTAAGTACTAGTTCTAGATGACTAAATCGACCGAGGATACTGCACGCGGCGCTTTCTTTCCATCCGACGTTTGGCTCATCATGGCCACTGCGTCAAATTGCGGGTCGGGATCTACTCTACTCCGGCTCGAGGACCGGAACGGGCGCTGGTGAAGATTATTATACGGATGCTGGCTACCCATTGTACCCCCTGGAACAACGACACCGCCGCTTTTGATCGTGCCCCCGCTGCGCATAGCGGAAACCTCTTCCCGCAACGAGTTCAGGGCCTGTACTTCCTCACGCAACGCGGCGAGCTCGTTCAGAATCTTGTCCTGCCGTTCGCTCATGGACGCCCGATCCTCGCGCGCCGCCAGCATTTGCTCGTTCTGTTTGACTGCCGCCCGCGACGAGGCCTTGAGGCCGTCGTCGAAATTTTTCTTCGCGATCTCCTGGAAGCGGCTCTGCTGCGCCTGCAACATCGTCGCCTTCAGGATGCGGCCCTTCTCCTCCGGGACATTGGCGGAACGAATCAGGGCCACGGACGCCGTGGAGTTCATCACGGAGGTGGTCAACTCCATGTACGTGGTGGACAGCTCAAAGGGGTCGAGCTCGCCGCTGCTGTCCAGGTCCATCGCGTCGAAGAAGTAGCCCGCGTCCTCGTCCGTGAGGTCCAGCTTTTCGAACACCTTGCGAAACGCCAGCGACTTCTTGTAGTTCTCGATGAAGAAGGTCCGCGTCGTGTTGACCACCTCCTGTCCGGGGAACTGGAGCAGGTCCTGGATTTCCCCCATTTTCTCGTCAATGTCCAGGTTGCGCCGCACCTCCCGCTGCTGGCGGCTGGCCGTTTCCAGCACGGTCACGGTGACCAGATTCATCAGCCCCAGGGCGGAGATGGAGATGAAGAGCAGAAAGTAGAAGTAGGGCCAAATGTGGTCGTTGGACAGGGGGACGACCATGTCCGTCCAGCCGTCCAGCGTCATCATTTGGAACAAATACACGATGCTGTCCCGCGTCGTCCCGAACAGGGACTTCGCGTTGTCGAACGCCTCCTCGTGTTCCGGGTTGTTGTCGTCCGCTTCGTAGGTCATGCTATCGTTCTGCCCGATGATGACGACGGAAAAGATCCCGAACAGGAAGATGATGATCATGATGAACAGAACCGTCCACATCAACGGGGTCAGGGAGAAGAAGAACAACTGCACCACGTGCCACAAGTGCTCGAAGATGGTCAGCAACCGCAGCACGCGGAAGGCCCGAAACACGCGGAGGATCTTCACCGCACTCTGCACACCGCCCTTCTGGTCCGTTCCAGCCACCGTGATGGTCCCCGTGGTCGCCAGGGGAAAGAACACATCGAACAGCCACCCGGTCAACACCACGGCCACGTCCAGGGAGTACTGGAAGTTGAACAGAATTCGGCGCGCCCCGAACGCCATGCAGCGCAGGACCAGCTCCACCGTGAAGAAGAGCAAGAACAGACTGTCGCCGATGGCGATATGGATGTGTCAGGTTTGAAATCGTCAAAGTTGAAATAGTTTGTCATGCATAAAACGGATACCAGTTAGACCTGCAGTTTGTAGTCGGTGCATGACAAATTTTCCCGGTCCTGGAAGCGAGTCTGTCATGCGGTTTAGGGCAAAAGAGCTGCCTTCTGTCATGCTAGTCAGCAGTCCAACTTTTGACCCTTACCAGGATTATGATCTGCCTCCCTTGCGTCCTCTGCAATAGAGTCGCTTTTTGTATCGCATTTTATGCATTACAATTTCGTTGCGTTCCTTCCATCTGTCATCCTATGCGCCAAACCAACCCGAGTAACCCGTTGGACGGCGCCATTGGGGCTGGGTCGAGCGGGTCGAACCCTCGCTCCCGCAGCAGGGAACGACCCACTCCACCACCACCTGGCCAACAGGCAAGACCCCCCAGAACCCCACCGCAGGTGGTTGAATGGGGGGAGAGAAGCGCCAGCCCAGCCCCACTTGCCCCGGCCCCTACTTCGGAGCTATAGCCCGCACGGAAGGCGAGCCCCAAGTAACCGCGAAAAAGCGAACCACATCCGGATCCGGCAATACAGTGATGACACCAATTCCGCCAGAATAAACGCAGCAAAGCCTCAGAGCCCGCAAAACTTGAAACGTAGGCGCCCTGGAGACAAACCGCCCCGGCGCGCGCAGCGGTCTCCGTGACACAAAACCAAAAGCGCCCGAGCGCCAGCCAAACGCGAGCAACATCTTCGAGTACGTCCCTGCCCGCCGGGAGAGACTGCCCCGTGTAACGGGTCAAAAGTAGAAGCCGTTGCAACTGGACGCAGAGGCGCACAACTGAAAGAGCAGGGGGCCATCCCCGGTAGTGCTTCCCGCGGGACAAGCCAAACAATAAGCCACAGAAGCCCGCAACAAGGGCATTACATACTCCCGGATACTGACCAACAACCGAAGACCGAGCACGAACAGCCGCCCCTTTGCGGCCCCCTTCCGCCTCCACGGGCGCCAAAATCTCACTAGAGGCACTAGACCTAGCAATGCCTGCCGTGGCTAGCGACAAGCAAAGCCCTCCCCAGGAGCGCGTGGCGAACGATAGCGCTATCGTAGCCCCCAAGGCATACAGACTCGCGCGCGAGCCCCTTACCGCCGGAAGGAATCCGTGCGCCTATGATTGTATCGGCGCGCCAACGAGGCCACACCGTGCCCATAGAGACAGCCTGTCAAGAAGGACGGGTCCGCCACTAGAGAACCACAACCATCGTCCCGCACGAAGCAGTATGTAGCGCAATAGATTGTAATTGACTTGGAGGATCCTCGGCCCCACCCTGCTAAGGGAACAGAGGGCGAACAAATTGGACACCAAGAACCCCAGCCAAAGCATGGGAACAAGTTCGCAAGGGTAACGGATTGGGTACCGCCAGTGCCAAACGACCCCTGTTCCCAAAGCAAGGCGGGATCGAGGACAGATGAAGGTATATCGATATCCACCATAGAGCACGGAAATAAGGCGCCAAACGACGCTGCCGAACAGTGGCGACCCCGGCCACAAGATGTCACATTGCAAAATAGACAAGACCTCTGGGCAAATAAACAATGCCCCCAACATTACCGGCGCGCTAATGCAAGCACTTTCAAGAAGACGAAGAGACGGAACAGCAACAGTCTCTGGAGAATATCATCCGAGATCCCCCGCGCGGATGCGGGGGGGCCTCCGCAAAACTTCTGGTCGGGGAGTGCGCATACCAACATCAATCTCCAAGGGAGAAGAGGCCGCCGGCCCCGAGAGTGCAAGGCCATTGCCCAGTGTAGAAAACATACCGCGACGCCCTCAAGACGTGACAACCCGGCCCAGACTGGAGCCCAAAAGGATGGAAGAAATACATATAGACGCATGCCAGCCCAAGCTAACTACCGTGGCCCTTTCAATCTGGTAAGGACACCCCAGGACGGCCGCGGCCAGCCTCACCTCTACAGCGAAAGCGACAACGTTGTGAAGGCCTGCCACACCAGAACCCCTCCAGCGGTAACGATCCAACTGCAGAAGGCACAATCCTCGTTGAGGCTACCAATGCTTATACCCGCGACTCTATCTGGGGCTGCCTCACAACAAACCGACGCTGACGCAGCACTGTCTTCGCATCTTCCGATAAAACTGCCCCATAGTAAATGTCCGCAAAACTACTCCCCACTGGACTCGGCCGTGTAGCAAAACACCGCGACACCGCCTCCGCTGAGGCCGCCCCCATGGCGAGCATGCGCCAACCTGTCCTCGCTGGGACAACCCTCAAGGCAAATTCCTTGCACTCTAGCGAAGCATCGGCAGACGCAAAACTGTCCCCCCTGGGACTGCCCTCTAGGCAATGCTCCGCACTCTAGCGAAACATCGGCAAACGCAAACGGTCCCCGCTGGGACTGCCCTCTAGGCAATGCTCCGCACTCTAGCGAAGCATCGGCAAACGCAAACTGTCCCCACTGGGGCTGCCCTCTAGGCAATGCCCCGCACTCTAGCGAAGCATCGGCAAACGCAAACTGTCCCCGCTGGGCCTGCCCTCTAGGCAATGCTCCGCACTCTAGCAAGGCATCGGCAAACGCAAACTGTCCCGACTGGGGCTGCCCTCTAGGCAATGCCCCGCACTCTAGCGAAGCATCGGCAAACGCAAACTGTCCCCGCTGGGCCTGCCCTCTAGGCAATGCTCCGCACTCTAGCAAGGCATCGGCAAACGCAAACTGTCCCGACTGGGACTGCCCTCTAGGCAATGCCCCGCACTCTAGCGAAGCATCGGCAAACGCAAACTGTCCCCGCTGGGACTGCCCTCTAGGCAGTGCTCCGCACTCTAGCGGAACATGTAAGCCTGTGCGTAAAGACAAAAATAGCTGCGTCTAACAGCTCAAAACGCAATCCAAACACCGCGAACGGGAGGCACCCTCCCGCCCCTCTCGCAGGGGAAGGGAGTCCAGTACCTCCAGGCATTAGCTTCTAGGGATCTGCCAGCCCATGAACAAAGGCGACCGGAGGAACTCCTTCCAGTCACTCCACGAAAAGAATCTACCAGGGTAGATGTGTCATTATTTCAACTTTGACGATTTCAAACCTGACGCTTCCATAGGCGATGCCGGTGGCGTAGTCCTCCTTGTGGTCCGCACTTAGTTGGTATTCGAACCCCATCAAGATGCAATTCGCCGTGATTAGCACCGTATCAAATGTAAAAATGTCTGGGTCTGGAACAATGCAAGTTTGTCATGCTTGTCTGGCATGACTCTGAAATCTGTCATGCACATTACCAAAGAGCCCCACTTTTCTGTCATGCAGAATCGTAGTTTGTCATGCAGAATAGGCAACACCTAGAAGCTCAGAAACTTGGCATGCTGAGCCAGCAATTGTGGCCTCCTGTCCTCATGATACGCAACACAGCATCACAAGTTTCCAGACCCAGACACTTTTACATTTGATACACCGTGACCAGGAAGTCGAACCGCTTCGAGACCACGATGCGCTGCATCAGCGAAATATCCTTCCGGCCCCGCAGGGCGCGTCGCTCTTTCACCAAGTTGTTGGCCGCGGGGTTCAGTGCATCGATCTTCTGTAGCCGCTCGTCGCGAAGTTTCCGTGCCTTTTCCTTGATGGTCTTCGCAGCCCGCTTCGCGGCCATAGCACTCGCCATGGACATGCCCGCTGAGTTGCTCGCCGTGGAGTCCAGTCGGGAGGGAGCTAAATTAGGGATAGTGCCAGAAGATTGAAAGTGCACTAGTGCGCCGGCTTTTGGTTTCGCGGGGGAATGGTCTTGACCGGCCGGGTTCGCAGTCGCCGTCGCAGTTGTATTCGTAGCTGCAGGAGATGAAGGAGGTGGATCAGTCGTATCAGCATCCGTTACAGCTGCGGACGTTCCATCACCATCGGAGAGGGCCGAAGCACCTGGTGACGTAGTGCCCTTTAGTATACTCGGCTTTATTGGTGGATAATTACCTGCGCCACTAATATTAGAATTCGCTTCCGCTGTGACCGATCCAGTACTGGGCTCCCCTCCAAGATTGCTCTTTGCTATTTCCCCAGACGGGGGAGAAGGATCTGATGGTGCTTTTGGTACAACTATCGAATTGGAATTCGTCTTTCTCTTTACCGCAGGAGGGGATCCACTCGTCGCATCGGGAGCATTTGCAGACGGAGCCGGTCCTTTGTTAGCGCCGCCCTTTGGTATGGCGGCGCGAGCTCATTTTTTTTGAAAAAATTTTTTTTTTTTCATATGCCACCTAAATGCCTAGCAATATGTGCATTTACTGGCCCCATTACTGTGACTAATAGCAGAAGGCCCGCTTGCGAAATGAAGACGGAGCCCGATATTGCGGTAGCCGGCGGGGTGGTAAAGCAGGAAGCTGAGGCGCGGACCCGTCTCGGAGCGGTGCGCGAACGTGGAACCGCCAGCACCCATGACCGCAAAGCTGTGGCGGCGCTATGGCAATAGGGCGGCGAGACCACAAACGAGGCGCGGCCCGTGCGCAGGCTGTGGCGCGTGGTCGCCGACATTTGGCCGCGGGCTGGGGGGGCCAGGGGTCGCGGAATTGGGCGGCGGCCGCCTTGCTCCTTTGTTTGTGTCTATGATTCTGCCGCAAAACCCAAACCGATTGGCCTGGCGAAGGCAAACAGGCCGCGCCACTAGTACGCGCGCACCGGCCTCGCGCACCTTCGTGCGAAATTGGCGCCACAGGAATGGCGGGAAACCCAGCGAGCCTCCCAACCTTGGGGGGGCTTATCGAGATGACAAAAGCGCGGGGGGCCCCGCGGCTGGATATCACACAGGCGCACTCCGCCGGGAAATATGAAGGCGGGGGCATGAACTTCCCCGGGCCCGGCCGAGAAAAAAGGCGAAAGGCCGGACCGCCCGGGCGGGGCTTTGGGGGGCCCCCTCCTCTATCGTGCGCGAAGGCGGCGCGCCGGCTTCCTGCCCGCTTTGCCCCGGTGGCAAACCGTGGGCGGCCTGCCACGTAATCCACCCCGAAGGGGGCCTCATGCCGGCACCTGGGCACAAGAGACGGCCACCGCCCTGGCGCTGCAGACATACGCGCCGGGAGATGCCGGCGATTGGCCATCCGCAGCGGCACGCGCATCATGCCGCCACAGTCGGCCACGGCCGAGGAGGGGGCCCACGCAGGCAGCGAAAGCCCAAAGGGCGTGAGGGTCACGCTTGGGCGCTGGGCAGGCGGTGGCGCTGGCGAACTGTTTTGGGCAGAAGTGAATAAAAGCAAACAGCTGCCCGCCTCGCAACACATTCACGGTCGCCGGCCCTTGGTTGCCGAGGCCCGATGGCGGCGGGGGGCCCGGGGTGCGCGTGCCAAAAAATTAGGGGCGTGAGGGCGCGCCGCGCAGTGCCTTCGCCCCTCCTTGTTTGGTTGCGGGGCGGATTTGGGGTCTGCGAAAGAACTACCAACCGCCAGCAAGGCCGCTGTCCCCGTGGCGGGCGGAGTTTCGTGATTCGGCGCGCGCAGCGATGCAGAGGCCGCTAGGATCAGAAACAATCCCGGGGCGGGTGCAGAGTAAGCGCAAAGGGCCCCGGGGTCGGTCCGAAAAACCACCGCGCCCTTTGCTGTCGCTTAGGCACGCCGGAGAGCAGCGCGGGCCCTGCGAAGCAAAAAGGCCATGGCCGTGCTGGCAGGCGGGCCCGGGCGGGCGCGTCGCACTGCTTAGGCAGGGCAGTGCGGGTTTTGTTGTATTCGCAAGGGCCTAGCGGTGTCCTGCTACGCCCGGAAGGCCGCTCGCCTATGCCCGCCCGCCGGTGCGCAAGGCCTGCAGCGCTCACACATTTAGGCAGCCCACTACGCCGCGCCGCGACGCCTTTCCTCGGGGGCCTCTGTCTTTGAGGGGCATCGGGAAGGCCCCTGTCGGGGGGGGGTGAACGGTCCCGGAGGGGGGGGGGTGGTTTCGAAGCTTCCCCCGATGGAATGCTGGCGCTTTCGCCTCTCCGGGAGGGGGGGGTGAGGGGCTTTTTTCCGGGGGGGTGAAAATAGTAAAGCCGAACCGCTAGCGCGGTCCGCAGGTTGCATGTCTAGCAGCACAGGCTTCCGGAATGCGGCGCGCGGCCTCGTTCTTCGGGGGCTTTGCCGGTTGCTGCAGACGCGCAACCACCAACGCCTGCACCAAAGCCGCAGAACAACATTCCCCCGTGCGCCTTTGCGTATGATTTCCACCCAAAGGCCGGGGCCATTGTGTGTGGGGGCCCTTCCGGTTTTTGCGACCTCTGTGCGCCACCACAGGCTCCTGATTCCCGTCTTCTGCGCGACGCCGAAGGCGCCAAAACAGAAAAACGGCGGCAAGCTTGGCGGCAATAGGCTACGCGAGGCGCCATCCCTACGGCGGGGCTAGCGGCCCCGGCCCATAACAAAAAGCCACAGAAAGGGTCGCGAGAGCCCCAGCAAAATCTGCCGCCCGCCGCCTTTCCGCACTTAGGCATCGCCGAACCGGCCGCAACTGCCATAGAGGGCACGCGCGCGCAAGCCGCCCGCACGCCCTCGGCAGGCTGCTCTTCCAGCGGCCTTGCCGCTCTTTTCTGGGCGCTCTATTTTTGCCATGGAACACCGCCTCCAACCAGCCGCGAGCACCTTCCGAAGGCTGCCACGGTTCCTCGCCGGCCCTTTCGGCATGTGGAAAACAGGCGGCCGGCCTTGCCCCCCCAAACCGAGGGGCTTTGCTCAACATGCGGGCGAAGAAAGCGACGCAGCCCGCCCCACCGCCGGGGGGCATTGTAGGCAAAGCAAAGACGCGACGCGCATGGGGTAGCCAAATGCCGTGGCCGCTGGCAGAATACGCAGAACGCGCCACCTCGCGGTTCAGATGGAGGGCGTGGGGCGACTTCGCCCGCTAAATTTTGGCTAATTTTTTCGGGATTTTTAAAAAGTCCGGGCAAACAAAGGCGACCGCGGTGGCGTTGCCGCCGAAGGAAAAGAGTAAGCCCGCGCGGCGTGGGCAAAAGAAAACAAAACCCCAGCGGAGTTTGCGACGGCTTTTTTGCGGCGGCCCGGACGGAGCGCGCACAGAACGAGACGACACCCCATGGCGCATGGGGGATAGACATGGAAACGAAATGCCCGAAGGCGGAAGCCCTTGAACCCAAGAAGGACAGACCCAAACGGAAGCCGGCGCCGGCGGAAATGTGTTTGGCCCCCGGAAATCAGTGGGCCGCCATCCCATGCGCGAATGGTTATTATATTTCCCCACCACATTTCCACCGCCCCAAACGATTTAGCCTTCCGCGCTTTTTGCTAAATTGGCAGTTTAGCAAAAAGCGCGGAAAATCCTTTCTAATTTGGCCCGCTAAATTGTGTGCTAAATCGGCCGGCTAAATCCTATTCTAAGCCCTATTCTATTTTTTGTTCTAAATCGCATGGCTAAATCATGCTCTAAATTGCCCTTCTAATTCTTGTTCTAAACTTTGCGGGATTCACACTCCTTTCATCTTCGCCTCGAACGGCTAAATTCGCGAGTACAGTGATTTCGGGAAGGAAGTCACAAACTTGCAGATTTAGCCGCCGACTTCGAAGATGAAAAAGTGTGAATCCCGCGGCTTTGGAAACATGGAAGTCCTCTGGACTTCTATATTTCCAAAGCCACATTTAGAACAAGAATCCTGCGACGAAGGTCGACGTCATCAGAAAGACAAACACAACACAGCGCGGAGCGCGATGCAGAACAATTATAAGGAGAGGCAACCCCCAGGGCTTGGCCGAGATAGTGACAGACACCATCTCGAGCCTGTTGTGCCTGAGATAATGCCTTCCCCTGCAACACACATGACCACGCTGCCGGATATTTTGCGTGGTGCAAAATATCCGGAAAACCAGCGTCGGAAGACATGTCGAAATTGGCCGTCTCCACATTTCTATGGAAAACCGGGCCAATTTTTAAATTTTAAAACTTGGCGCGCGGCCAAACACAAAACACAAGGTAGGAGCAGGCACCGCGGCCGCATTGTACCAGTGGCCCACAGACACGAACAAACCCCATGGGACCGACAAGGCGGAGACGAACCAGACAGGGGGGAGCGATAAGACACGAACCTGGGCGGCGGCACACGGGCCAAGCCAGAGAGGTGCCCGGGCCTTGGGGCCTCGGGGAAATCCCGAAAAATTTAGCCAGTTTTTAGCCCACGAACTGGCCCCGCCGTCCTCCACCTGACGCGGTCGCAGAATGGGCGGCAACTACAGCCCTGCCCCGCATGCCCCCCGCTCGGACTTGGGGGAGAGGGCACCTAGCCCCCGCATTGCCGTAAAAGGGCGCCTGCGGCTGTTTCGAAATGCGCGGCGCATGGAGTGGCGCCGTAGGTTTTCTTCCCAGGGGCCTCGAAATCGGGATCGGAGCTGCGAAGCGCGACGGCCCAAAAGGGCACAAATCGCGCGGCGCAACACTTGCACAACCCGAAAGAGAAAAATCAGAGCTGCACCACCGCCCCGCGTGCCAATCCCGGCCCGGCCCTGGGGGCGGGCTTTGGGCTTTTGCAGAGTAATAAAACGCGCCGCGCAGATTAGGCGCGCGGCTTTTTTGATTGCCGGGACATATGCGAGCTGGCGTGGCTCGATCGCGGGCCACCGGCGCCCCGGTTCTTTGCTGTTTTCCGAGGGGCCCTAGCCCCATGCACCCGCACCCGCACAAGGCGCGCGCGCCTTTTAGGGGTCGCCCGTGGTTTGTGTGTTTCTGTGTGACGGATTATTTGCAAAGGCCACGCATGGCAGACCGCCTTCCGCGCAACGTCCGCGCGCGCGAATGCTTTTATCTGCTCCGGGCAATACTTCAACACCCCCCGGGCGTAAGACCCTCGGCACCACAGTGAAAGCGGGGCCGCTCCACATTTGTCGCCGCTTTGTCGCATCAAAGGCGGGCCGCTATACCGGGCTCCGGCCGAAGGTTCCGGACTGGGCATGTCAACTAACTCCAGTCGTGGGACACATGTCATGCCAACGTGGATGGCTACCAAAGTCGCATAGCAAAAAAAAAAATTTCTTCGAAAAAAATGAGCTCACGCCGCCATATTTGGAGCAGGTATCCTCCCACTTTCAAACGACGCAAGTGGCGGCATGTTGGCCTTTTTGTTGTCCGGTGCAGCATTTCTTTGCTTGGAGCTGCCGCTACCATCGCCTTCCAAGAATTGCTTCGAGCTGCTATCGCCCGTTCTTGTCTGGTAAGCCTCGGGAGCTTTCTTGGACGTGGAATCGCCTGCGCTCTGCGTCATTTTCGGACAGTATCACTTTCCTTCTTGCTTCAGTTTGGTTGTTGAAGTACAACACTTCTCGTACTTCGACTACCTCACTGCGGTCCGAGCGTCGACGCCATTTTGTGGTTGTGGCATCAAGAACGGCAGATAACCAACCCACATGGGCAAAATTATGCTAATGTACTTGAGGAGGAGGAGGAGGAGGACTTGAAGTCGCCGTGAACCACAACAACATGAATGGGCTAAACTACCTACTAAATAAAAGTTGCTCACGGATACCGATACGGAACGTAGACTAGGTAATAAAGTAGTCACATGTTGTGGTAGAGCGAGAGGCAGATGGGGAATATGATATCGTATGGGGTCATTTGTAAATTCACATTCAGGAGGTAGGCCTGTAAAAAGGACGACGCACGCAACCATGAGTAGAAAGAGTTTGATGGTTCTTGGAAAGTCTTCGCAATGTGTTCGAAAGTAGAACGAACGACGAGATGAGATGTCAGCTGCACGCTGGCTGAACGGACGTGCTGGTTTGTACGATGTCCTGGCGCGCAGGCACACTAGGCGATATAACGGGAACTTGTGTGCGAAGATGGACGACCGACGGCACACATTTGATGCACCGAAGGCTTCTTTATTGAGAAGCAGTACGATCGCCGATGAGTTGTACGACAGTGTATAGCGTTTGTAGTTCGACGTCGAAAGTTAAGTAATGCCAGCACACCAGTTCTTGTTGCAGTAGGTGGCAGCCGCAGCAGGAACGAACCGAAAACTCGATTTATCATTTTGGAGACTTGGTTGCACTTTCGTTCTTTGACAAAGTAAGCATCGCTACCGAGGGGAGCGTGGAAAAATATCATCCACGAGAACCGAAAAAGCAAAAAATCTTGCAAACATCTGAGATGCATCGAGCTGAGTGGCTGATGTATATCTACCTAGGTTCCACAGACACATCATGACAGGATCGGATACTTCTTCTACTTATGCGAACAGATCTAATCTTCATCTGCATCGCAGCAGATAGTCCACTTAACCATAGACTCTTTTTGGTGTGGTTTGTCACTGCGCAGAAAACAGAATCTGCGAATGCTAAAAATGGACGCGTCTCTTGATGTGAAATACACGTCAAGATGAATTGTCCTAACAGCGCTGGAAATTAACACAAAAGGAATCAAGGCAACCTCGATATGGCACACTCTGGACCACGTAGGTACGAGGCTATCCCTTTTCCTGTTCTGAAAAACGAAAAAAGCTCTGTCCACTAGTTGATATGCAAACAGGTGGCAGTAGAAAGTAGCGCGAAACGAGTTTCAATAAACGAAGGCAGGCACCTCAAATGCAAACGTATAGACCACAACAAATGCGTTTAAAAAAGTATGTGAATGACATGGAGTAAGTACGCAAACTGCTGGGGGCTGTTAGTGCTATCGGTGTGGATCACCTAAGTCTACTTTAACTTTTTCATCAACTGGTGCTTCTACATCTTGCGCCGTTTTGCGTCTGGCGGCTGCAGCGAAGAAGCAGGTGTGACATTTTGCGAGGCAGCTTCTCTTGGAGACGAGGCGGATCCTGCCAGTTGTAGCGCAGGCATGACAGGAAAAGTCGCCCCGGCGTCCCCGCTGTTGCTCGTTTTCGGTGGCTATGCGATGCAAATATCACTCCGTCACTCCGGGTTGTTAGGATTCTCGTTGAAAAGAAACACTTGATCATGACAATAAGAAAGCGGAAGCGCTCATGCAGTTGTCATAATTGGACGTTCAAGCACGGGATTATGGTTTGATCATGTTCATGTTGCATTTTTGAATTTTCAGCGAAAAAAACATCAAGAATGAAATAACGTCCGCATGATATTAAAGTTGATTCGCTTTCGAGAATGACGGAGGTAATATTGTTTGCGTTCGATAGAGGCATGCTGGGCGAGTGGTGGCTCCTGCGGCGGACATCGGGGGAGTGCAGCGACTCGGTGGCGTGCTGCCGCCGCATGTGCGGTGAGGATATGCCGCACATCTTCTCCGGCTGTAAAATTTCGTCCACCTGGGACTTGTTCAGAAATCCCTTCTCCACCACGACTTCGCCGACAGCCCGGTTTTCCTTCAGCGCCGTCTTCGCCACCAGGGAGGCGTTCTTGTAGCCGATGGTGGGCAGCAGGGACGTGACGATCCCGATGGAGTTGTGCACCAGCTCCCGGCAGCGGTCCTCGTTGGCGCCGATGCCGTCCACACACCGGAGGCGCAGCGTGTCCATGCCCTTGCTGAGCACCTGCATCATCATGAAGATGGAGTGTATGATCACGGGTTCGAACACGTTCAGCTCGAGCTGCCCGGCCTCGGACGCCATCACCACCGTGTTGTCCATGCCAATCACCTGGAACGAGCACATGCTCATCACCTCCGGGATCACCGGGTTCACCTTGCCCGGCATGATGCTGCTCCCGGGCGCCATGTCCGGGAGGTGGATTTCGTTGAAGCCGCACCGGGGCCCGGACGCGAGCAGCCGCAGGTCGTTGCAGATCTTGGAGATCTTGACCGCCACGCGGCGGAGGATCCCGCTGAAGAACAGCATGGCGCCCACGGAGCTGCTGGCCTCGATCAGGTCCGGGGCGAGCTGGATGGGGAGCCCGGTCACCCGCTTCAGCTCCTCGACGGCGGTCTCGCTGAATCGCGGGTCCGCGGCAATCTTCGTGCCGATCGCCGTGCCGCCCAGGTTGCAGAAGCAGAACCGGTCCACGCCCTTGGTGACCTCTTCCAAGTCGTACCCAATCGTCGTGGCGTAGCCGTTAAACTCCTGGCCCAGCGTCATCGGCACGGCGTCCTGCAGCTGGGTGCGGCCCATCTTCACGACGCTGCAAAATTCTTCGGCCTTGTTCAAAAAGGACTGCCGCAGCTGCTCCATGGACTTCACTAAATGCTTGTGCATGTGGTGGATGGCAATCTTGGCGCTGGTTGGGTACGTGTCGTTGGTCGACTGGGCCTTGTTCACGTGGTCATTCGGGTGGCAGAACTGGTAGTCGCCCTTCTTCTTGCCCATGATTTCCAGGGCCCGGTTCGCAATCACCTCGTTGGCGTTCATGTTGGTGGACGTCCCGGCGCCGCCTTGCACCTATCCTGTGCAAAAGTATCGTACTCCTAGTCATTGCAGTCATGCATGACAAGTCTGGTTCGTTCCTTAGCTTATTCAGCATTACAAATTCCATTTTTCCTTCTGGAAAAATTTGTGATGCTATTTCTACTAGTACGATACTTTTGCAATGCATAGCACCATGTCTACCACGAAACTGTACCGCAGGTTCCGCATGATGTCCGCCTTCTCGGGCTCCTTCTCCTCGTACCGCTTATCCTGCAGAAAAGCACAACACCCAGCAATATTCAAAAATACTTATTTGCGATTTGCAGCTGTCTCAAGTGTGGTCACAAAGAATGGTCTCTTTTTGCCGGCTTTTCAAGAACGTGACGAATTTTATTTCAAGTCCTGGACTACTTGATGACTCCAGCTACAGGTCCGCATCTTTACACTCTCCATCTTTTATTTTAATTACAACAGTATGACCACAGAAATAAATTGCCTCGCTAGTGGCTCAGCATTGCAAGAAAAGGCTATCGGGACGGGAGAACAGCGAAACACAAATTCAATTTTTTCTGGTGTAGGAGTAGGTATGCTTTTCTCTAGGATAGTGGTCCGGGTCCTCGATGAGCTCGTCGCAGGCCTGCACGATCGCGACCATGATTTTTTTGTCAAGCCCACCGAGGCGATGGTTGGCCAGCGCACAGGACTTTTTCACCTGCGCAAATGCAGTGATAAACGAGGGGAACTGCCGCAGCAGCATACCGGTGATCTGGTAGTTATCCACCGCACGCAGGGTTTGCACGCCGTAGTAGGCGCCGACGGGCACTTCGCGCTCGCCGATCAGATCGCGCTCCAAGCGGGTCGGCCCCGTGATGGAGACCGGACACCCGCCGTGGCGCCCGTGACGCTGAAACGACAATCCTACACTCTCAGCCGCGGATCCGCCTGCCGATACATTGCTGTGGCGGGCCGGGACGTTGTGGTCTACCGACAGGTGCTGGTGCGTTCGCGGCGGAGAGCCAGGCTTGGTCGGCTGGCCTGCGGGTGCGCTCGACATGCTGATGTTCTTTTTTAGATAGTTTAGCAGTTGAAATCAATTCGGCGGCAAGCGCGATGCAAAAAGAAAAAGAAATGGATTTATTTACTATTTCCAGGAGGTTCTTTAGGTCTTCGGGAAAAGAAGATAGGTGGATCGCACAGATTATACAAGGAAAACTTTTATTGAAGATGAAATAGCGGTTGAGGCGAAATTAAATAGCGAAGGATAATGACAAAAGGTGTTCGCTGCTAGGAAGAGCTCCACTAGGTAGAGTAAACTTTGAATGTTAGCAGCCGAAAATGATGCATGTTTCACATCAAGAGCAAACTGCAGAGAAGGGGGCATTAAAATGGCAGTGTGAACTTTCGATTTTCAAAACCGACAAGCACTATAGTACTTGCCTCTGGCAACCGATGTGAGCGCTCGTTATTTCCATTTCCTCATTTCGTGGACAAAACAGAAATTTTTTTTTTTACAAAAGCAGGGTCATAAATTTGCTTCAACAGGTTGACTACATCGCTGGTATTAAAGTACGTAGATCTGTCTTTATTGAGTAGGCATGCAGGCAACGATGTGACCGAAGGCAAGGGAACCACCTGTGGTATCATCACCGATAATGAGGATGCTTTTAGTTTCATCTATATCGCCGTCGCGTCGATGGCACATCAGATACATACATCCTAGCTCTTGTAGTTTCCTATCGGAACAACTCAATGGGTTACAGGAGTGCAACCTCAAGTGTCTATCGCAAGGTGGCCGTTTTTCCGGCATTCCTTCCACATTCTTGTAAGTAATCTTTTATGTTGACATCGAGGAGGCACCGTCGTTATTGTTTCAGGAGTCTCAATTTCTAGGAAGGCAGGGGTTCTGCTACAGGAGCTGCCCTTGTACCGAAGTACTGCGGGTTGCAGCTCGAGTTTAGAATAAATGTGGGAATTCTACTTTTGTCCACCCTTCGTTTTTCCGCATTTGCGTTGCAGCTTTTCCAATAACAATATCTCCGTCTACTGCGACTGTTCGGCTCCTGATTTTGTTGAAGAAACAGAAACACCTTTCGGTTGTTCCTATTAAAGCTCCTCGTCCGAGTCTACGCTCGCTTCTCCACTTTTTTCTTCGTAACTTTCTTCATCTTGCTTCTGCTGCTCCTCCTCGTCGTCGCTTTCCGCTTCAGAGTCGGTGCCGTCGCCGTTTTGGGCCTTCTTATACTGCTCGTTCGCACGTCGCAAGTCCTCCTCCTCTTCTGAGTCCCGATCCAGATCCGTTCGTCGCGCCACGTATGCATTGCAAAAGCATCGCACTAGTAGAAATCGCATTACAAATTCGGCCCGCATGAGAAATAGAATTTGTCATGCTGTTTCACCTTGGAATAGAGAATTGTAATGCATGATTGCGATTACTACAAATACGATACAGTAGTTGCACAGGCTACCACAGTTTCCTCATAAATTTCGCGCATGTTGTAGTTGTACCGTTTCTGGTATCCTGTGCAAAAGTACCGCATTCGTACTATATCGCATTGATGCATTACAAATTTCCTTCTCAAGCTAAATGCGCATTAGAAATTCCACTTCTCATGATGAGGAAATCTGTCATGCGATTTATACTACTACGATACTTGTGCAGTGCATATCTGGTACCGCCTCTTCATCAGTTCGCGCACGCTACTATCAAATGTAAAAGTGTCTGGGTCTGGAAGATTCTGAGAAATGTCATGCATGTTTTGCATGACCCAGGATGTCTGTAATGCACGACCGCGCATCACAGATTTTGCGCTGGCTTCCTGATGGCTACTCCGCATGACAAATGCCCTCCCCGCGTAGCACAAAGTAGACTCCTCGTCTTGCTGGTCATGCAATACAGATTTTTCTAGAGTCCAAGGTTAGCATCACAAGTTCCAATCTTCCAGACCCAGACATTTTTACATTTGATAGCTCCCCAAGACCCCCTCGTCGAAAAAGGTCACATCGTGAAACACCATGCGTATGGATTGCAAAAATGTCTGGGTCTGGAAGGATGCGAACTTGTGATGCGTGTTGCGGATCATACAAAAATCTGTGTTGCGTGACTTTCAAAAGGTCCCCATTTCTGGCCATTCTGAGAGGGCATTTCTCATGCAGAATAGGCATCACCAAGGGGCTCCAGAACCTGTGATGCCAGGCCCTGCATTCCAGACTTGGCGGAGCTTGGAAAAACTGCATGACAAGTCTCGGAATCTTCCAGACCCAGACATTTTTGCAATGCATAATGCGACTACCGTCCTCCCTCGGTGGCAGCGGCGTGCAAACCGTCTCGTTCGTCGGCAGGCTAGCCTTCGGCCGCGTTTTGGAGAGGTCCGGGATGGTGTCCAGGTTCTCCGCCCAATGAAAATCATCCTGCCGACTCCACCTTGTCGATACAATTACAAGTGCCTTATAGAGGTTTTCAACACGACTGGCACACGCACAGACACACACACGTGCGGCATCGAGAAAGGTCATGATGCATGATCAGCAATTTTGTCCTGCGTGAGGACTTGGCCATTTAAGTACGGTTTACAGAAGGTTTCTTTGTGTTTGTAGTTTCTCATGTGAAGATAGAAGAGTACAACTTACCAAACGTTGACCGCCAGATTGCGGGTCCCCCCAGAATTGACCTGGTGAAACCAGCCGTTGGGAATGAAGAGAATGTCGCCCTTGTACATCGTCAGCCGTTGCTTCGGCACGTGAAAAAATTTGGGGTGCTTTTTCAGGTTCACCCGATCTTGGTTGATCCTGGAGTAGCCCCCCTTGATCGCAATTTCGCGGGCAAACTTGGGGTCGATCAGCGTGACGAGCTTGCTGCCCTCCTGGAGCATGAGAAAGTTGTCGGCGTCATCTTGGTGCAGCACGGAGCTGGTGCCTCCGCTGGAGAACCAGATGGTCATCGACTGATACAGGTTTTCCTCGCAAGCCAGCATTCTGGGGATTTCCACATCGCTCTGCAACCTCTCCTCCGCAGATAACTTCTTTTTCGATGAACTAGATTTGGCGGCTCTGGTTCTTTGGGAAGATTTGAGGTCGAGCATCTTGCGGTTGTGCAGCACAAATTCGGGCGGCGCGCCGTCCTTCGCCTTTTTCCCCTTCGGGCCCTTCACCGCGAACGCTTTCATCAGCCCCGCAGGACTTTGGCCGAACTCCGGGACCGCCTCGGTGCCGATGATGGCATACAGATCCTCCACGTCCTTGCGTTTGATGAAGTCCTTGAACAGCATCTGTGCTCGGGGCCCGCCCCGGACCTCCGATTTGGATCGTTCCGCATTCACAACAATTTTGCCGATCTTTTTGTCCTTTGCAAAGTACTGGTCGGTCCACTTCTCCAAGAAGGGGTTGCGGAAGTTCGCGTTCCGGAACAGCACCGGCTGGTGGTGTCGGGCGTACTTCTCGTAAAATTCTGCCCAGTCGATTTCGCCTGATACCACCGGCACTGTGTTGGTCGTCGCGGGAAAGTCCGCCATTGGCGCCCCGTCTAGTTCGTGGAATTTCTTTTTACCGCCCGAGGATTTAGTATCCTCCTCATCGTCCTCATTCTCCTCCTCTATTGCCTCCGGGATCTTCTTCGTGCTGCTCGGGCGATCGTTTGAGTTTGTGGCTTTCTTCGATTTTTCTGCGTCACTGGTGGCACTTGCTGCCTTTTTGCCACCGCTATCCTTTTGCTTGTTCTGTTTCTTTTTCGCCTTTTTTTCACTTTTGGCTTGCTTCGCACTCTTTTTTTTCGCACCACTTTTTTTGCCGACAACTTCCAGGGTGGGAAGTTGCTCCTGTGATGTGCACAGCTCGTGAAATGGACGCAACAGAGACACGATCACGAACGAAGTAGCTACAGCACGAGTCACGAAGCCACCAGTCGCACGAGGCAAGTAGCTTGCCATGCCCGACATGATTTGGATTTGCCTGCAAAAAACGCCTTATATAGAGGATCTGGTTTCTGGTATTTTTAGTACTCTTTTCTCTGCTGCTTCCTATAATTCTCTGTTCAATGATGCAATGGGAAATCTGAACCTTCGCGTTCTCCTTGACATCTCGGGATCCTTGCACGAAGATAACGCTAGGAATGAATGAACACGTACTTAGTTGGAGGACACACTGGCCCCGTCTTCCACCAGTCTGGGAGTCGTGCGGAGCTCCAGGTAGGGGCGCAGCAGCCTGTTCTGGAACGCAGCACGGGTGAGAGGCCATCCAAAGGGCGGGCTGAAGCGAGGTGCGCAAGTGCCGAGCTGCTGGGAGGGTAAAATTTTCTAGAGCCAGGTGTGGACAAGTCCACCACTGCAAATGCTCAACCCTCTTGATCGGATCGGATAAACTAATATAATCGCTACGCGAGCCATATAATTTCATCCGAAGCCGATCAATTCACCCTCTTTAGCAAATGCACGGAGCGCGAACACAACCTCTTTCTTCAAAATCTGGAGCGACAGGTGCGCCCCTTCTCACGTTCTAGTGTACGTTTTGCATTTTTCATCCTCAGCACCGAACCAAACAACTGCTATCTATCCTGCGAGTCAACACTTGCGCGTCACAGTGGTAGTAAAAATGACCGGCGGCCGGAGGAGGTACAGCCGGTCGTAATCTCGCCTCGAGCAAACCAGGATTGGCACCAGTCTGGGAGTCGTGCGGAGCTCCAGGTAGGGGCGCAGCAGCCTGTTCTGGAACGCAGCACGGGTAGCCTTGTCCCAAAAGTTTCTCCCCAATCGTGGCTAAAGCTCGCCATGGCGTGGTTCGGAAATTTCTGCTCCAGAGCGGCGCGCTATCGCGCAGCGTTTGAGCAGGCTGAGAAAACAAATCTTGAGGATGTGCTAGCGGCAGGACGTGAGGGATTCGCCCACGTGGTGCTGGTAGTTCTGGAAGATGCGGTAGTGGGTGTCGCGGTGGACCGCGAAACGAGCGGAAGCATAGAGCTCGTAGTCTTTACTGTATTCGCCAAATTGTTTGGAGGATTCTGTCCATCCAAGCACGAAGCAGGTTCTCCTCCACGTGTCAGCAGGAATCTGGTCCACCTTCATCCACCCCCGCTTAGAGCATTGCAGGCGGATGTAAACCGCCAATGTTCGTCGCGGCGAGTGCCCAGTGCAACCGAGCGGCTTGATCAATTCCTCCCTTACGCGGTACTCGTTGAAATTGCTGAAAATGCCGGCGGTGTACAGCTCCGCCGGGAACTTGATAGTAAACGGCGTCTCCTGCGGATTGGCCTTCACGGGGACGGTACACACCGCCCAGGAAATCGACGGCGTTTCCGCATCCCTCTGAATCGTCACGAAGGTGTCATGCATTTCGAGGAAGGAGGCCAACCGGAGCCCGGTCTGCTGCCATATGTTAAACCAGGAGCGCGCCTGGTTTTTCAGCAGCGGGAGTTTGTGAAAGCGGATGATCGGAGCCTTCAGTGGCTCTTCGCGTCCCGCGATCATTCTAATGCTCCGCCGCACGCGCGGCAGCGTGTGCCAGTTCCAGGTACTTTCTACCATCGACTTCTCGTCGACGAGGAGGTCCGTAACTGTCGACAAATAATCCTTCGAACTCTGCCCGCATCCCTCGCTGGTCACAAGCCACTCCCCAAACTGGTAAAGATGGGTCCCGACTTCGATCGTGGGCGACCCCGGGCGGTAGGGGATCTCCGGGTGGGTCTGCGTGAATTTGATCCAGCTGGCCCACCGCGTTTGGCGCGCCCTAGTACTGTTTTCCGCGTAAGCCCGCTCGCGCGGGCCGCTCGGTAGTGGCGCGGGTGCCTGTCTGCGTACTGGAGCCGAGCCTGACGCTTGTCGATTGTAAGTGCGAGGCATATTTTCGAAGAAGACGCTTTTTAGTAGAGCTCTTAGTATGTAGTTTATTAATTTTGCAGAAGGTGCTACTAACAGAATCTTTAGCGGTGGACAAATGCGAACGAAGATATGAAATTTTGTCAAACGAAGTTTCGAGGCCCTGGACGAAGGCCGCAATCCGGCCCGGTGGCACGTGTTCGAGCTCCACACCCAACGCCTTGGAGATGTCAGCGAACATCTGTGCCCGCGTCGCTTTGTCCGCAGGATTCCGATCGGTCCGGACGTATGCCCAGTAGGGGCATACGTTTCGCTCTGCCAAAAGCTTCGCCACCCCGCCGGCGAGGGCCGTCCCTAAAGGGCAGGAGCTGCATCCTCGGTGCATGACATACATGCCACCAATATTATCACAGTGCGCCAGCAGGTTCGCGTTTTCAATTTCGAAGTACACCAGGGCGCACAGGGTAGCTAAAATTTCGTATACGAATATACTCCTGTTGCGTAGGAAGGATGGGAGCTCTGCTTGCTCCGCGCGGATCGTGAAGATCCGCGGCTGCGATCCTTGCCGCAGCAAGATCCCTCCAAGCAGGACCGCGCCACCGCTGCCCGCTGTGGCGGCGTCCGTGTACAAGTGCGCCCGCGGTCGGGACAGTGAGTTTTTATCTAGCGTGAGCTTGGCGTACCCATCCAGCAGAAATCTGGTGTCGCGGAGAACCCCGGCAAGCGAGATGACCGCTGCGGGCGACTGCATCAACTGAAGGAAAAGCCGCTCGTCGAGCCAGGCCGAAATGGCTAGGAACCCCGCAAGCGCCGGCTTGTGGGCCCGCGCGAAGAGTACGAAGCACAGCGCGCCCTGCACTTTTTGGAGCGCCTCGATGCCAAGCGTGCCACGCACAACCTCCTTCTCGGCGGTCTGGAGGTCGTCCTGAATCTGCTTCACCTTCTTTTCCGGCGCATAAACATGCATTTTCGGATTTCCCGGACAGGAAAGGTCCGTTTCGAAACAGACACCGAGGACAGCGAGGGGCCCGCGTGTGGCCTGGTGGTCGACCACCACCGTGCCGGGGGTGGCGCCATGACGCTCCAGCTTCTTATCGTCCGCCCGAAAGCCGAGCCAGCGAACGACGTCAACTACCAGCCGGTGGAAGTCCCGCGCGCTGTGGCGGGCCACGAAGGCTATCAAATCATCCACATAGATCCACAGAGCCAGGCCGAACTTCCGGAACAACCGCTCCAAAAGCACCGACACTACCAGCCACGACATGATGCTGCGAATGTTGCCCATCGTGCAGCTGTTGCTTCTGAAATTCACCCACCGCTGTTCGTCTTCATTGTACATCGTGCAATAATTTTCATCGGGACAACGGACCGGAATTTGGTAAAAGGCGTTGCTGAGGTCGACTTTAAGCAACCAGGGCAGCCACGCGCGGTGGCCTGCCTGCTCCTGCGTGGCGGGCATCGCGGGGTCCTTTATTTTCTCCGGGAATGAAAGACGTTTTTCGGTGTCGATGTCGTGCAGCACATCGGCCCGCATCTGCATCGCCGGGCTGTCTCGCTGGCCGGCCAGGCAGTAGGAGACCAGCTGCACGATGCGCGCGACGCTCGGGAGCGCCGCGTGCTCTCCTAGCCTGGTGTATTTCGTGTTTCTTTCGACTTCGTGCACAATGGTCCGGCACTTCAGATAACGCTGCTCGTCGTCGGACCATTTCTGTAGGAGCGGGAACATCACCGTGACCACCTGCCCCTGCGGTATTCCGTCCGCTACTTCTTCCAAGACGGTCCCCGCGCGGAGCTCCGCAGTGTCTTGCCACTGGCGGCTCCTTGCCTCCGCTGTGCCAACCGGCTTCGTGGCCCTCTCCGGCCGAATGGATTCGTCGACGAAGAAGTCGCTCGTAGCCTCCTCGAACATCATGCTCTCTAGCTCCGTCAGCTTCTTCGCGTTCGGCCAAAGCCCGGTTGGCAGCCATGGCCCCTGGTGTTCAAAACCTTGAAGGAAGGGCGAGGAACTGATGGTGGAAGCGACTTTGCTGGTGTCCCGCGCCAGAAACTCGACGCCGAGATCCTGCGCCATTGTCGCCAGCAACAGCGGGCGCTTTGGGTAGTCGCCGACTAGTAGAGGGTCGCTGTAGATCCGGACCATGTGCTTCGGCAGCTGCACTACTATCCCGTCCGGCATGACGGCCGCTTTGCCGGCGAGAAGAAGATCATCTTGCGCCCTCGTTTTTTCCAAAAGCCTGTTGAGGTAGCCAAAGACGTCGCTCCGCATGCCGTGCGCAGTGCGGTTCTCCATCCCGTCCAGGAGCGCCGCGTCTTCGTCGGTGACTGTGTTTTTCCCATATCCGCGTCCAGTCTCGTCCTGTTGGATGTTGGCGCGCACTTTCCGCACCTCTTCGTCCATCGTCGCTGGCCTCGAAACTTTCGGTTGACCGAAAAAGAGGCGGTCAAAAAACACAAATGAAAGGAACCCCAGCAGGGAAGCGATGATCATCAAAAACCAACCAAATCGTCAAGCCGCTGTCTGTCGTCGAAGAGTGGGGCTTTGAATTGCATTTGCAAGGAGAACACGGGCAGTCCATAATGGCTGCCCCCCCCGGACGTACGAGCCCGCGCTCGCTACGATCCGACCTGTGCGCACGCCTTACATCGGTTTCCAACCACTGAAACGAAAGAGAAGGCGTTCAGATTCAATAATAATTCTAGATGCGACCCCTGTGAAAACGCGACAGAAGACCTGGCGAGTCCGAAAGCCGCTGGCTTCGGCGCGATGTTCTAAACCACGACCTTAACCTTCCAAGGAGGCCAAGGTAAAAATACTTAAAGTTCTAAACCACTACCCTAACCTTACCAGGAGGTTGGGGCTGGGGCTTTTCTACGCTGCTACTGCAAGATCAACAGGGTAAACTGATGAAATGCAATAGTTGGAGATTAATAGCTGTTTTAAGAGATGCACGCGCATATAAAATCAAGTTCCGGACAACACAGCCGAGAAACCCCTTGGCTTCTAACGAGGCGCTGTGCTGACCTGCATAAAAAAGATGTCTCTGTTAGGCTGAATGCAGGTCGCGTGCTGTTCCTGCAACTTCTCAAAAAATGTCGCATCACGCGGTTGATGGCAGAAATACGGGCTTTCATCGCATCAAAACCGCCAAACTGCTTTTCCGTCGGCCTTTCATAGATTTCTGAGGATTTTCGCACAAAATCCTTCTGAACCCTCGTTATCAGTATGATGGGCCGAGGTTTGAAACCACCAGAAGAAAAGGAGACCGAGCGAATACAAATTGTTTTTCACATTCATTTTAATTAATTATAAAACAGAACCAACTCGTCATTTGATAATTATTATATTATAGCAAAGCCAGTA